GTAGCATGTTATTGCAGCATGGCTTTGCCTGCAGCATTGGACTTGCAGAATGAACTTTAACCAAGTTCAAATGTGTTTTCTATGCCAGCTTGTGCCTGTCACATCAGCCAGTGTATGTAATTAAGGTAATTGTGTGACAATATGAAGTTTGCAGAGATTTTTGTTAAAGTTGCAGTAGCTGGATTTGAACCCTGATCTCCCACATGAAAGCCCACAGTGCTCATCATGAGACTATAGGAGATGTGGCAGAGGATGTATACAGAAAAAGTTTACCTTGCCAATGCAATTATTGACACTTAAGTGCAATATATTACAGCAATAGGAAAGCGTAAAGACAGTATTACAGTAAAACATCAAAATACAATCATATTAATATTGTAATCACTGAACTACTGAGTTTAAATATCATAAAACTATGGTGCAGTACCATATTGTGTAGATGCAGCAGGGGGCAGTATTGGGCCGATACAAGGCTCCATTGACTGCCATTATAATTTATTCATATGTCCAGTGTATTACAAAGTCACTGATGATGTAATATTAATAATATAATTAATATTAAGTTCTGTTTTCGACTGAAGTGGTTGGAGAAAAAATAAATAAATAAACCAAGTATTACAAAGATCTGTTACTTTTGAAACAGTTTATAATGTATTTAATGGTAAATGGACTATACTTGTATAGCATCTTTCTACGCAACCTGGACACTCAAAACTCTTCACACTACAATCTGTGTCCTCATTTATCCATTCACACAGCACTCTATTAGGTCTCCACAAAGCTAACATGTACAATCATCTATGGAGACTAATCAGCTATTATTTAGTATTTAATCATGAATACAACATACAGAACCCTATAAAAGTAGTGATAATTAAACAATATCAGAAACAAAACGAACACATTCTGCCTCCTATTTGACAAAAATATTTTAACATCTCTGACTTGCCAAATTTTTAAACCAATTTTATTTTCATCATATCTTCAGCTGCTTGTAGTTTTAACTGTCTTGAGTGTGCATTGAAATGTTTAACAGCTTCTAGCCAAGATTCTGACATTTCTGTAGATATTAAACATTTCTATGTTTAACTAAAAGAACTTAAAATAATTAAAGTAGAAAACCAGGGGTTTGGGCTTAAGAGATTAATGAACCAATTGGTGGGCCGAATGTTGGTCACTCGCGGGCCGAATGTGGCCCACGGGCCGCCAGTTGAATAGCCCTGGTGTGGAGGATTAAGAACATCTGGAATCAGGTGAAGAAAACAGAAAAACAGGTGAAAAAGTCATCAAGTTTGCAGGGAAACGATATAAAGTGATTGTGAAAGTCTTTTATTTTGTAGCAGCTGATGGACATGAGGACAGTTCTGATCCTTCTCCTCAGGAGGGCAGCAGAGCTGCTTCATGCTCAGATCATCCACTTCCTCCTGTTTATTGTTTCCACTGGTGGGCAGCCTGAGGGCAGAGCGTTGCATTGTGGGAAATGTTGGCAGATGATTCAGTGTGTGAGCTCCTCATCCTGCAGATCTTACTGGTCCATACTGGAGCTGTTTGCTCCCAGACTGCAGTAAACATTCAGCACAAGCCTTATTTCATTATGATTATTACCAACTGCTGCTGTGAGATAAGTTGTGACTTTTTGTCCTGTAAATAAACTGAATTAAATTCAATTTAAGTGATTTTGATTTAACTTTACAAAGATTTAATTATCTGACTTAATGTCTGAACTTTAAGACATAATCTTTAACAGTAAATAAATAAAACTGATCTACAGTTCAGTTATATTCTTACATGCAGAGTTGCTTCCACAMAAACATTATTAAAATCTTGAAAAACTTGATTTGACTCAGTTTTTCCTATTTCAAGAATCTTACCAAGTAAAATTTTCTTACTCCATTCGCACAAATGTTTTACTTAATCTGAGTCAAATTTACAGACTAACAAGACAAATAATCTTACACATTCTGAAAACAAGATTATTCTTACACAATCAGTTCTTAGTAAATCAGTCTCAAAACAAGATCAAAAACATATTTTTGGTTGGATATAAGATTTTAAAACTTGGTTAATGGACAGTTTTTACAGTGTGGTTGAAAACTGCACAGATTGAAAAATGATCTGATGTTCAGAAATGAGTTTAACTGTTTATAAATAATAAATGTTCTGTAACATGTTTAATGAAGTGGACCAACAGGTCAGAGACACACACACCTGTCCACAGCMTGAGCTGCTCCTGTGGAGAGAGAGGATGTCTTGATCCAGGCGGAGGAGGATGAGGAGGAATCTGTGATGTCATCAAGGACCTGCTTCTTGTTGCCATGGAAACAAGCATCAGACTCCTCTTCTTTTGACATCTTGTGAAACGAAGTCTGAAGGAATTCATCCTGAAAMTGATCAGCCCACTCTGAGAGGATGATTCAAATCTGAGCAGAAATAAACCAGCAGTTAAATTTACACCAACACACAATAACAACTACACACTATGAGCACACAATAACAACAACATGGCAGTCTCACCTGTGTCAGTGTGCCCCAGGGCAGCTGTGGCTACAGTGTAGCTCACCATCTTCATTGTGTGAAGTGTGAGGAGTAAGTAAGTAAGTAAAGTTTTATTTATATAGCACCTTTGACAGAAATAAATTCACAAGGTGCTGTACATTCAGGGAAGGAGGGGGGCAGTTAAGACAGGTCATGCAGCAAACACAGTTGCGTTAAATTAAAAACAGAAAAACTAAAAACCACGAGGGAAAATGTGGAAAAAAATCAAAAACATCATTTATCAACAGTGTGACACACTATGGTGTTTATGAAAAACCTCTGCATAAGGCAGATTTATTAGCCAGAGGAGTAAGTGAGTTTAGGTGGGGGGAAGAATCCAGTCCCCAAAAACAGCGCAGCCATAGTTCAGAATATTGATGGAACTGTTCATTCTGTGTGGCCTCAGCTTCCTCAGGAGCCAGATCAGACAGTTGAGAGGAGGGGGGGGGGGGGGGGTAGAGCCTTATCGACATAATCCAGCCAAGAAGAATTTAGTCAACAGCTCAAGGCTGTTGTCGGGGAGATCCAGATTCTGTAATCAGTTGTTTTGGGAACAGAAGAGACAGGCAGACGATAACAATATTCCATCTGCTTCAGTGTCTGCTGGTACTCTCAAGGTGGTGAATCCAATCAGACAAATAGTGTGGACAAATTCCGCCGAGCTGATCTATCAGCTTTTCCAAGATCAATTCCATCTGGCCAGCAAAGTCCAGGAACCACAGCTGGCCCGTGACCCTCAATAGCACCGCTTGCAGACCCAAGTCCAGCTCGCTCAAAGCAAAATGTCCGAGTTCTGATAGATTACGGTCATCCATCAAATTAGTCAGTCAGTCAGGAGATGAAAAGCCATCGACGCTGTTTTGTAGRACACCAGGAGACCACCAAGCCAATCTGTAGAATCCAGTGATCGGAGTCCAAATATATATCCAGAACAGAGGAGAACAGAGGTCCCACCTTTGACATGTCCTCCCATGGAAGAAGAAAAATAAACTTTGTTCCAAAAATTTTATTRAGAGACCAGCTAACCAAATCCATAAAAATAAAAATATCCATAATTTCTAGTTTTGGATGAAAAATGTAGAGAAGGCTCCAAGCAGCAAAGCAGGGAAGAGAAGGAAGGGCAGGAGAGAAGGAAAAAGTGCCTTACTCCTCCGAGAGCGGAAACAAAAAAAAATCAGAAAAGAGCTCTGAAGTCCGACAGGACCTGATTAGGTGCTGTCTAAGTTCAGACCATTTGTCCCTCTTCACTCTGAGCATCAGTTTTTGAGGCATTGAGAAGCAGACGTTTCTGCACCAGCTGTAAAAAGAGCCGGGCTGAGAGGCCAGGACTTATACCTGCTGATATTACACTTCTCTGACAGGAACCACCAAATAACATGGCATGTGGGATAAGAGGGCAATACCTCCTCCAACACCTGGGAATGAAACTGGGTTAGAGCTGAGTCCAGCAGACCAGAGAAGTTACATCTCTGAGCAGGAGAAAGTGTCCACAGTATGGTGGACATGGTCAACAGTTTTTCGTTGTCTGTCTTGAGGATTATGAGGCTTACTGGTGTTGAGACTGTAGGTACCAGTGAAGGCTGAGCTAAAGCAGAGAGGCACCAACTGCATCCTGGACACTGAGCAGACTAGCCAATCAAAAGATGACCTGACAGGTGATGGGCACTCAATTCAGTTTGATTAGATTTGATTAAGTTCAGTTGAATTCAGTCGCCAGCCAAGGAGATGGACGTCGGGTTGGAGTGGGCTGTGTTCCATGCCTCAGTTGCTGAAGAGGCTGCCATGAGCAGTGGTCACAAGGTTGCCAGTCTGAGGCAAAGGAATACTTCAAAGACCTCCTCAATCCCACCAGCAACGAGGAAGAAGAGCCCGGCGACCCTGGGTCAGACTCTTCAATCTCTGGTGCTGACGTCACAGAGGTGGTTGAAACGTTCCTTGGTGGCAAGGCCTCAGGGGTGGATGAGATTCAACTGGAGTTCCTTAAGGCTCTGGGAGTATGGGGTACCAGGCCCATTGATACGGGCTGTTAGGTCTCTGTACGACTGGTGCCAGAGCTTGGTCCACATTGCCGGTAGTAAGTTGGACTTGTTTCCAGTGAGAGTTGGACTCCACCAAGGTTGACCTTTGTCACCGATTCTGTTCATAACTTTTATGGACAGAATTTCTAGGTGCAGCCAAGGTGTTGTGGGRATCCTTTTTGGTGACCTTAGGATCACTTCTCTGCTTTTTGTGGATGATGTGGTCCTATTGGCTTCATCAGATCCTGATCTCCAGCTCTCACTGGAGCGGTTCACAGCTGAGTGTGAAGCAGCCGGGATGAGGATCAGTGTCCTCAAATCCAAGACCATGGTCTTGAGCCAAAAACTGGTAGGGTGCTGCCTCCGGGTCGGGGAGGAGGTCCTGTCCCAAGTGGAGGACTTTAAGTATCTCAGGGTCTTGTTCATGAATGAGGGAAGAATGGAGCAGGAGATCGACAGGTGGATTGGTGCTGCGTCTGCAGTGATGTGGGTGTTGTACTGGTCTGTCTACATCTATGTCTACGTTCCTACCCTCATCTATGGTCAGGAGCTTTTGGTAGTGACTGAAAGAATGAGATCACAGATACAAGCAGCCAAAATGAGGCTGCTAAGCTCAGTCATCCAGGAGGGACTCAGAGTAGAGCCGCTGCTCCTCCACGTCCAGAGGAGCCAGTTGAGGTGGTTCATCTGGTTAGGATGCCTCCTGGACTCGTCCCTGGTGAGGTGTTCTGGACACGTCCCACTGGGAGGAGACCCAGAGGAAGACCCAGGACACGCTGGAGGGACTATGTTTCTCAGCTGGTCTGGGAACACCTTGGGATTTCCCCAGAGGAGCTGGTCCAAGTGTCTGGAGAGAGGGAAGTCTGGTTCTCTCTTGAGGCTGCTGCCCCCGAGACCTGACCCTGGATAAGAGGAAGAAAACGGACAGACGAACGGATGGACGGACGTACTTAGTATTACTTTTTTACCAGAAACGTTTTAAAAATTACACTTTAAAATTATTTATATCCAAGTTTCGTAGCACAATGTACCTGATAAATAGCTGAAGCTGGGGGACAATGTATCAGACTAACTGGAAGTAACTGTGTCATAATCAATGTGCAAACTATGAAATATGAAAAAACATGGGTCAGATGAGCCTTAGACATCACTACTTTAAACATATATTTTTTTTAGTGTTGGCTGATAAAAACATTCATAGATAAATAAATGTCACCATTGTGTGTAACTGGACATTGTACATTCACGTGATAATGAAAAACTTGCACTGATGGGTTGTAAAGACACAAAATGGTGGAATAAAGCTGTAATCTACAGTATAAACACAGCATTGTTACACAATCATCACATAGTAATGGTGGCCCTCTTTATACAAATGTACATGATAGTACCGATCCAGTTTTAGATATCAGTGGTCACATTTAAACAGATCAAAGATGAATCTAATAAACTGTGACCTTCAGGAGCAGACCTCAAAGCTGATACTCAGAAAAGGAGCAGTGCACTTTTTATTTTTCACCATTTGTAGGTTGAACAGTTTTGCTCAGATTTAGTCTCAGTCAAAATGAGCCATTAGTGAAATAAATATCTGAGTATGTAAGTGGTGTGTTTATCAGGTAATAGAGCTGATAAAAAGCTCTGTTTGCTTTCACCTTTGTACACCATGTGCTGATGACTGCTGCAGCATAACAAACAGCAGAAGGTTGGGTTTTTTTTAAACCTTTTAAAATCTGCCTAATGAGAATACAGCCATCAGGTTTGYCTGTCAGAGTTGTAATCCAGATTAAACAGAATTCTGTTGCCTCTCTTCATCACAGCAGCCTTTAGTGAGCAACATCACAGTTTCTGAAACTGTTTGGATCCAGTGTGAGAAAAAGGCTGCAAATTGGATTTTTATCCAAATAGAACAATCTGTCACTTTTCCTGAGAAAAGGAGCTCAATAACAGGAAGAATCAAAGAAAAAGATTAAACCAGGTAACAATAAAGACAATAAAGAATAACTAGATTAGTTCTTTCTTCTACTGTTTATGGTTATTTTAAGTTGTCCCTTGGGAACAACTCTGTATTACAACCAAACTGAAGAAGCTCCAACTGAAGACACTTTGTCTTTCTATGACAGTCTGATGAAGAGGATGGTCAGGGTTGTCCACAATATTCTTGATTTTATGTAAAATCCTTCTTTCCACCATCATCTCCAGAGATTCCACAGTCGTCCCCAGAACAGAACCAGCCTTCTTTATCAGGTTGTTTAGTCTTTTCAGGTCCCTGGCTCCGACACTGCTGCCCCAACAGATGATGGCAGCAGAGATGACGCTCTCAACAACAGACTGATAAGAAGAGTTGCCCCTCTTCTCTGAGCTTTMGGTTGTTGCGTACGAAGGTGAGACTCACTGAGGACATTTTTGTACTTTAACCCTGACTAGTCTCTCTGCTCCTGGAGAACAACCCCACATCATGATGCCGCTACCACCATGCTTCACCATGGGGATCCCTCCAGTGAGTAATGAATTTTCCCCGGGGTCTTCTACCAGTGGGACGTGTCCAGAACACCTCTAGGAGGCATCCTATCAGATGAACTACCTCAAGTGACTCCGAGCTCCCCACGGATGATGGGGCTCCTCATTCTCTCTCTAAGGCTGAACCCAGCCACCCTATGAAAAAAGCTCAGTTGACCGCTTGTATCCAGGATTTTGTTCTTTCGGTCATGATCCACACCTCATGATTATAAATTAGGGTTGGAATGTAAATAAACCAGGAAATCAAGAGCTTTGCATTTTGACTCAGCTCTTTCTTCTCCACGACCAATCAAAGCAACACACTTATTACTGTGGACAAGGCCCCAATTCATCGATCCATCTCCATCTTACCATCACTCGTGAACAAGACACCCAGAAGCTTAAACTCTTCCACTTGAGGCAGAGACKTTCCTCCAACCTGGAAGGGGCATTCCACCCTTTTCCAGTCGAGAACCATGGCTTCTGTTGGTGTCTTGGTCCGAAGACACCAACAGAACCACATCATCTGCATACAGCAGAGATGAGACCCTGGGATTCCCAAACCAGACACCCTCCTGTCCACGACTGCACCTTGAGATCCTGTCTATAAACACTACAAACAGGATCGGAGACAAGGGACAGCCTTGGTGRAGTCCAACCCACAGGTAAAGATCTAGTCCACTGTTCCAGGATCTTGTTCTTTCAATCATGATCCACACCTCATGACTATAAATGAGGGTTGGAATGTAGATAGACCAGTAAGTCAAGAGCTTTGCATTTTGGCTCAGCTCTTTCTTCTCCACGACCAATCAAAGCAACACACTTTTTACTGTGGACAAGGCCCCAATTCATCAATCCGTCTCCTTCCTACCATCAGTGATGAACAAGACACCCAGATACTTAAACTCCTCTACTCGAGGCAGAGACTCTCCCCCGACCCGAAGGGGGCATTCCACCCCTTTCCAGTCGAGAACCATGGCCTCAGACTTAGAGGAACTGACTCTCATCCCAGCCGCTTCACACTCTGCTGCGAACCACCCCGGTACACGCTGAAGGTCTTGGTCCGAAGATGCCAACAAAACCACATCATTTGTATACATCAGAGATGAGACCCTGCGGTTCTCAAACCAGACACCCTCCTGTCCATAAACACTACAAACAGGATTGGAGACAAGGGACAGCCTTGGTGGAGTCCAACCCGCAGGTAAAGATCCGATCCACTTTTCCAGGATCAGAACTGTAGCCACACTGCTCCTCTTGAATCAGAGGCTTGATGATTGATCAGAGCCTCCCTTCTAACACCCTGGAGTAAACTTTCCCAGGGAGGGTAAGAAATGTGATCCCGAACACACTCCCTCTTTTTATAAAGGGTAACCACCAACCCGGTCTGCCATGCCACAGGACATTCAGTCCTTCATGTGATGCTGAAGAGACATGTCAACTATGACAGCACCACAACATCCAGAGCCTTTAGCCCCTCGGAGTACATCTCGTCCACCGCTGGTGTCTGCCACCGAGGAGCTTTTTAACTACATTGGTGACCTCGGTCATGGTAATGGACTCGTCTTACCTCGAGTCATCTGACTCTGCCTCCTCAAAGGTGGACATGGGAGTGGATTGAGGAGATCCTCAACAACAATATCCTCAGTCCAGGTCAGTCCAGGTCATCATCTCCGCACTTAAACCGAGTACAGCCTGGGACAAGAAATGTTTTCCTTTTCTGAGTCACTGAACTATTTGCCAGAAACTTCTCCAGGCCAACAGAAACTCCTTTTCCACGGCCTTCACAAATTCCTCCCATGCTCGAGTTTTTGCATCTGCAACCACCAAAGCTGTGATCCTCTTTGCTGTAGCCCAGACTCTCTTTAAAATTTGGGTTCCAGAGCCTAAGCTGTGAATCAAAGTTGTTTATCTTTAACCTCAAACACAAGCACTGGGTCYTTACCCATACGTGAAGTTATCTTCCACGTCCCTAGAACTAGTCTATGCAAGGACCTTCSTTCACCTGATGCCTGGCATTGATTGCACCGAGTCATGATGGTCCTSCCTCCAGGTAGTGGGTCTATGTGGAGGTCAACCACAAGGCTCTCATCTTGAGCTCCCACCCCAGACCTGGCTCCAAGGAGGTGCCCCAGTTTCSATTTTTAGGGTGAGGTTTCCCAATTCAAATGYTGTTCTATTCATCAAGGGGCTCTAAGTCTGACCACTCCCCTAAAGCCTGTTTGCCATGGAAGACCCTACCAGGGGATAATGCCCCAGACAACATAGTCCCCCAGATCACGAGCGTGCTCAAGCCCCTTCACCATGTTAACGATTCTGCAGAAAACAGGTACCATTCTTCATTTTTAAAACTGCAAAACAGGACTGAAAACATCTTTTACAACAGTTCCCAAAGTTAACAAGTCAACCTGTGAAGAAGCTGAGAAACAGATGCTTTAGAAAAAGTGCTGGAACCTGCACCTGTTCCAGGTTGTTCTGTGAGTTTAAACCTGATCTGACCCTCAGGCTGAATGATAACAGTCTGAGACAGGGACAAGTGTCTGTCCTCTGCAGTCAACATCTCTTCATCCACCGTCAGCGTGAACCCACCTGAGATGTGTGTGAGTTCCTGTTGCTTGGTGATRGTCTTCAGCTCTCTGATTAAAGTGAGCTTCAAAGCTGTGGACGCACTCATTAGTCTCTACTGGCTGCATAATGAATCCCAGGGAGGAAGATGATTACGACATCATCCCTTCTAATCACTACAGTCCTGGAAATCAAGCTCAGCTTGTCTCAGTCCTCACAGTTCCTGCAGCTGACCGAGCTCAATCTCCTCGCTCAGCTTTCTGGAATCAGATCAGAATCCAACCTGCTGAACTTTAGCTTGTCAGGATGCTACAAGCACAGCCTCGTGTGTTCGGCTTTCATGTGTCAGAGTTCACACAGATTAACTTCTCTTTCATCTGACTTTAAAGCTTTCAAATGCTTTCTTCTTTAAATTAAATACTGATTTACATTAATATTAATTATAAAAGCTGCAAAAGAAGGAAAGGTTAAAAGTTCGGGTCACACAGGAGGGGTCAGGTTTGAAATATTTTATAACGTTATACCCTGGATGATAAGCTGTAACATTTCAAATTTTGTTCACTTTTATTATTTAAAAGGTAGATGATAAAGTTTCCATGTGTGTTCCTGTGTGTCAATCTTTGTCTAGTGAGGTTGACGTTGGACATCGGATCCAGATACAGTATCTGTACATCTACACAGCTGCACATCTATACATCTGTACATCTAAACATGTGTACATCTAAACATCTGTACATCTAAACATGTGTACATCTACACATCTAAACATGTGTACATCTACACATCTAAACATGTGTACATCTAAACATCTGTACATCTACACATCTGTACATCTAAACATGTGTACATCTAAACATCTGCACATCTAAACATCTGTACATCTAAACATCTACACATCTAAACATCTGTACATCTACACATCTGTACATCTACACATCTGTACATCTTCACATCTGTACATCTACACATCTGTACATCTACACATCTAAACATCTGTACATCTACACATCTAAACATCTGTACATCTACACATCTAAACATCTGTACATCTACACATCTAAACATCTGTACATCTACACATCTAAACATCTGTACATCTA